AACGATGTTGCAGCCATGAACTGTTTTTTGGCAATAGATAAATCGATGAGCAATCATTTCTTAAAGGTAGGGTCTGGAGGACTTTCCAGTTGCTGTTTGTAAACACACATTCAAATTCGGCCCCTCCTATCAGGCTCAACTCTCCCGTGTGTACGGAGCCCGGAGGTACGGAAGAAAGCTTCACAGAAGAGGTTCAGGCAAGGCTCGCGCTGGTGCACGCTCGGACACGCTCGGGCACGGCACCTGCGCTCTCTCATTGACTGGGGAAATCTCCGCCCAGAAGCGGTCTGAGCTCACAAAAACATTAAAATACAGTTAAAGGGCAGGAGCTCTGCAAACAGAGTCACCACCACACATGAGTAGAAGCCCATAGGTGATGATTAAGCAGGATTTCATTTGTATATGTCTATAATTTGTTTTGTTTGAAAATCCTCCAGATCCTACCTTTAAAGTTAAAACTGAAATCCTGCTTGTCAGCCCTAAAACAAAAGGAGAAATGTTGCTTAATAATCCGGGGAGTTTAACCCCCTGGATTAAATCTGAGGTGACAAGTCTTGGTGTGATCCTTGATTCTGATCTACGCTTCAAGTCCACCTCAAGTCATTTTTCCACATCAGAAACACAGCTCAGGTAGGGCCATTTCTAATTGAAAAAGATACAGAGAAATTGATTCATGCCTTTATTTCAAGCCGACCAGACTACTGTTATGCATTTTTTACTGGGCTCCCAAAAACTTCAGCTCATTCAAAACTCTTCAACTCGGCTATTAACCAGAACTAAGAGGAGAGAGCTGTTCTGCACTGACTTCCTGTTACATTTAGAATTGACTTTAAGGTCCTCCTCCTTGTATACAAAGCCCTACATGGGCTGGGACTGAGCTACATTGCTAACTACCTTGTTAACTATTTGCCTCCAAGAACCCTGTGAACATCTGCTGCTGGCTTATTGGAGGTTCCCAGCAACAGCCGGAAGAAGATTGGGGATGCGGCTTTTGTCAATTACGCCCCAAAGCTATGGAACACACTACCTACAGACATCAGGAAAGCTAGCTCGCTAAATATTTTTTAAAGAACGCTAAAAACGGATCTGTTCACTTTGGCCTTTAACTAGCTCTGACTGTCATGATACAGGTCTGAAACTCTTTCCTTTTATGTTTCAAGCTGCTGCAACTCTTTTAAAATCTTACTTGATTTTAATGATTTCTAGTTTTGCAACTCTATGATTTTATGAATCAGTCAATCCCCAGAGAGACAACACTATGCGGGAGACAGGACAAGTGCAAGATAACAAGACAAGACAAACAAAGGCATATTGTATGTTGATGGTGTTGAGTGGCATTTTGTGTGTTTGTTGGTGTGTGTGTGTGTGTGTGGCCATTCTTTCTGACATTTTACAAATGATCACCTCACTAACCCGCGTCTTTCTCTCGCTCCTTTTCCTCATTTTCGAGCTGTGTTGCTGCTTGATAAAGCCTGCCACTTCCCTTCCAAATTTTACCCTTTGAAAATTCTACTTCATTGATTAGGAGTCAGAAGAAAGGGCATTCTCTCAATCCAAAACATAACATCCACCAGCTGAGTTCTGGAGACACGATCGGAGGATGTTTACTGCAAATGTTGCTCCCTTCCTGTTGGTGAATTTGGAGGAGCCCTGAGATGATCTGTCATATCAAGGAGGGTAGCAGGAACTTGATTCACATCCAAACACCACCGTGAGAAACGGTGATCACAGCAAAGGGCCGAAGTGTTTGACGCACTCCCCTCCGCTTCCCTTCCGCTTCCTCTCATTCCTGCCTCGCAATGAAAAGTCATCTGAGGTAGGATTTGCCTTGCATGATTCCCCACGCTGACTATTTCTGTCTCTGTCATCTGCCATCCCATCCTGTAACCCTGTAAAGTCAGGAAATTGTAGTTTGCCTGGATGGCTTTTGCTGATTCCTTTCCAACAAGTTTGTGTGTTTGTTTGTGTGTATTGGCAGCAGGCCTTTCATCGCGTCATTTTTCTCGTCTTCTATGTGGGCACATGAAAGCGGACCGTGCCAGGCTGTGTTTATATATACATATATGTGCGCGGACATGCGTGCAGGCATCAAGGACGGGACAGGTCGACAGGACGTGAGTCACTCAGCCACAACAAAACCCAGCAACATTTGTATTCCAAAACAAGCCCTGCTCACATCTTGAATTGCTCGCATCCGTGTCGGCCCGGTTTGGCCACTATAGAGCAAGGCTGTCAGTGGGAAACACGGTGCCGGGTCCAAACATGGTCCAGACGCAGCGGTGTGCCTCGCTATGTGTCTTCACCGAGATAAAAATAAAGCTCTAGGACACAGTTTCACCACAATAATGTTGACAGACCTATGGATGGCCTACAGATGTGCAGGCGGCTACGGCTACAGTGACAAATAATAGAAGCAGTGGAGGATGTGATAGGAGGAAGTGATTTGTACCAGTAGTGCACAGTGGGACGGTGTGTTACATTCCCTTTGTTTCAGGCTAATAGTGATCAAGAAGAGTCGCCACAACAGAGTTTTAGTCAACACTGTTCACATGCACAGCTGCCACTGACTCTGTGGTGGGTACTGAGAGGCACACAGGCCACAATATCATATAATGAATGTTCATTTTAATAGAGATAATCTTCCACAGACCTTTCAGATGTACCCAAGTTCCCTTTCACGGACAACTCTCGTCCAAATGTGCTATTCATAAATGTTATTCCAGTGGTCTAAGATAGTCAAAAAATATCAGTAAACATGAGCAAATCTCTTCCAAATCCAAAAACTAGAGCGCTACAACTCAAATTTATGATGTCACCAAGCCTATAAAATCCGGAGCTGCTCCGTAGACAATGAATTCGGAAAGATGTTGTAGATGACACTGAGAGCACCCAGGGGAATGATCTGAGTTCATGTGTACATTTTTTGTTTCAGAAGAACACTACAAAGGGATAAAGCTCATGTTGGGTATAAAAAAGATCAAACACACACTCCCATTTATCTTCTATGGAGCAGCCTTAGACTTTCCACTTGATGACATCACTACTTTAGGACTTCTCTGGTTTCTGGCTTTGACAGAGAGTAGCTCATGTTCACAAATGTCGCTTGAATCTTCCTAGGTCATGAAAATAACATAATTCTTAATTTAAGTGGTGTTCCCCTTTCAAGAGGATGTTATTTACCCACTACTGATATGAGAGTGGATATTGGAGGAATATTTTTTTCATACAATTGAAATTTTGATGTTTAGGTTGTCCATTTATCCATTACTATAAGCTAAGTATTTCAGTCACTTATTCCAGATACTGTCTACTCACTTTTCTTTCAGTGGTCGCTCATCTTTGCTGGTGCTTTGCTCTAATTTGCTCTGCACAATAAAGTGATCCATTGTCTGATACGCTATACAGTAGCTAGTTTAGGTGCGTAAAACTTCAATTAAAAGCCTAATCCAAATTAAATGCCCAGTGTCATGGATTCTGCCGGAGCTTCCTGCTCCTATTAACCCCACCCTCCTGCTGCTCCTCCTGCGCCACACCCCTCTGCTCATCAGTCAGCACTAGGACCCTACAATACCAGAGTAGCGACACACATTGGTCAAGCGGAAAGTTGGGCATGTGCCCTCTAGTGGCGGGATAGCACGTTGCATATCCGACCAAGAACTGACTGAACTTGTATTGCTGCATTGCTGCCGATTCTTGTGCGCTTCCAATGTCAAGCAAACCTAAAAGTTTAATCTACAATAATCTACCGTAAGTGAATGGGTTTTCTGGTCGGAAAGGTAATGCCCTCAAGCCCCACTAGAGGGCGCGTGAGGCTTAACCACAGGAGTCAATGGAAGTGTCATCACTCTGGTATTGTAGGGTCCTAGTCAGCACCTGCCAGCTTTCCCCGCCAGTGCACTGTCCACACCCAGAGGCACTCCCCCTGTAGTGACTGTCAGCCTATCAGTGACCTGCCTGCCCAGTCTGCCACACACCTGCTGCTCGACTGCTCGTTTACCTGTCAGTTGATATACCAGTCAGTTTGCCAGGTCGTAGTTTGTGCTTCTGCCTACCTTGTATGCTGTCTTTTCTTTGTATTGCCTATTTAGATTTTGACCTGTGCCTGCCTACCTGGTTTGAACCTTTCTTTGACCCATCTTTGACCTTTCGACACTGGGTAAACTGCCTTTGTACATTTGTACTTTGATTGAACAGAGATATGACTGTAGCTACAGCGAACTGAACTCCTCTTACTTGGAACAACCTCCAAAGAGATTTGAACCTATGTGAACTGGTCTCTCTGCCTGACTTTAAAGCTCTCATAAGTACAAGGATGAATGAGTTGGTTGGGTCTTGTCATTGCACGTAGGTGTCCTAACATTTCTACATGTTACTGTGTATCTTTTTTTAATTGTGTGGTGGCTGTAACATTTTGTGTGCTGCTGTCTTGGCCAGGTCTCCCTTGTAAAAGAGACTGTTGATCTGAACAGGACTTACTTGGTTGAATATGGGTTAAATAAGTAAATATATTTATATTTTTTCAAATTACCTGATCTTTCTAAATCACCCTGGCTACTGCACAGGCACCCCGGTTGGGAGTCAATGACCTCGACCATCTCTTTGTGATGTAAAAGATAATCACAGATGAGTAACTGAGGGAATTTCCTGTCTCAATGTGACACACAGAGGTGACTTTTATCTCTACGTCAAAGTAATTGTCACACACAGTGTTTTAAATCATATATCTTAACTTTGACCACTGTTAAATAACTTGATGTTTTTGGTCCCCTTAACACTCCAGTTCCCACCTTCAGCTTTGGTGTAATTCCCACCACCATAACTCACGTGTGCACTCAAGACTTTAACATTTGTTATCAAACATGTAAGACCGGCGTGATTTATTAAATGGCTGAGCACAAAGCAAAACACAAGTAAAGATTAAATGGGGTCAAGGGCGCCTCTTGCCCCGTCTATCTTTCCCCCGACTTCCTCCGGTTTGGGAGCCTAGGAATGGGGTTTCCAGACCTGTCAACAGAGGGGGATCCAAGCATCCCTAAATCCCACAATGACCCCGGCTCCCTGAACGGCCCTTAAAAACAAGGGTTTTTCTCAGGAGTCATGAAACATAAAGACAAAAGGCTGCGATGGATACAATTCAATCAGGACATTCAAACAGGGCTGACAGTTTCTCCATGTGTTTAGAGCATGTGTTTTCACGAGGACGAGCACAGTCAAGGACTAAACGCTACAAGTACAGAAGATTTATTTTTCATCGAAAACAGTAAAGCATATAAAACAAAACAAGATGTTGCTGAAAGTGATGCAGACGCTGCGTAAATAAATAACAAGATTTAGATTAAATCATAACACGCAAGAGAGGACACATACATAATGCAATCACTCAATGATTGCTGATATAATCATGTACAATCATGACCTCTCAGCAGCGTATTATAATCATGCGCATATGTATAAGTTCATCAACGTGAATTTCTGTCTCCATAACTCTTCAGTCCGACGACGGCATAGCATCTCGGCGACAGCAGGGGATCAAAGAGTTGCACCAGTGTGGAGAATGATAAATCCTCCTGCAGGACACAAAAATAAGACACAATAGAACTAAATAAAAAACACATGCACGTAAAAATCATGTTCTCCACCCAGTTTGGCTTCGTGACCCCTGGTATCCTCCGCCGTATGATGTTCCCCCTATTAAAGATTTCTCTACTGAATCCCCAAGAGGAGAAACATCTGTACAAATATTGTGTCAGGTGGATTCGTGTTCATGTGTAAAACAAGTTTGTCTTCCTTGATGGCTGTTTTTGTATAGGTCGTTTTGTAATAGAAACAGTCCGCAGCCACACAAGCAGCTGTGAGAGGGTGTACGTCTACTGTATCCACACCATGGAGGCAGAATGGGAAGAACAGGAAAACCTCCCATTATTCTTAAGGGTGTTTACACATTATTCAATGCCTTCTAGTCACGCAATTTATATAACCAATACGCTACTTTTGCTGGAGTTCCTTAACAAGTGAAACCAGATAAAAGGTTTTTACCATCTTTCCGGCAAAAAAATATGATCCATTTGAACTTTTAAATACACTGAGGATATTTTACATGCCTTCATGTCTTCACACCTTGGTCACTGCAACAACCTGAATCAAAAATCTATTTATCAACTCCAGACTGTACAGAATTCAGCTGCCAGAGACGTGATCGCATCACTCCAGTTTTAGCCTCTTCACACTTGCCCCCAGTATGTTTTAGAAGTTCTTCAAGGTCTCTCTCCCTGCTATATCTCTGACCTCTTAGTGCCGTACACGCCAGGATGTGTTTGAGGTCTTTTGTCTGTTCCAGAGGCCCCCTGAAAACTAAAGGGGACAGAGCGTTTGCTGTCAGGGCCCCGAGGCTCTGGAACAATCTGCCCAAGGAAATCAGGCCGGCCGAGTCAGTGATCTCTTTTAAGTCCCCTCTTAAAAACATACTAAGTTCATTTAAACTGTCTTTTATTTCCTCTGTTTTTATACACTTAAAGCAACAATACAATGTAAGTGAATTCCACCAGAGATAAAAACTCAAATTATACCATTCTCATATGGTTCTACGAGCATCCTGTCTGTCTTCCCCACATGGAGGCCACCGACTGACGTAACCACTCGTGTAACAGCCCCCCCACGTTATCTTCCTTGTGCGTTTCCACTTACTAGTAACGTTAACGCTACTATCTAATGTTAGCACGGTAACCTTTTTCTAAAACTCATCAGTCATCACTGACTTCGGTTGAGTTTCAAAACTCCGGGGTTGCGTTTGACTGTCTTGGTTGTAACGTTACACTCAATCTCCTCTTCCATGTATCTAACGTTACCTTGCCAACGCCTACGTCTACCATAGACGTAATGAGCACGTAATGGAGGAGGGGTAGTACGTCTTTGTAGGGAGGCGAGAGTTGTGGATGTCCAAAAATTTTCGAAGTGCTGTGTGAAATGCAAGAAAGGTAAGAGTAACTTTAAGTGTTTTTAATGAACTGAAATGTTGTCCGGACCTGTCTCAAGCTGCATCGAAATCTAAATATTGAGCAGCACCCTGGAAATTCGCTGGCACCGGATCTCCTTAAATATTTGCTGCTGCTCCCATCGGCCATCATTTTTAGACGACAGCCGATGGGTTCTGAGATCGCCAAAGTTGTTACGATTCTTCCTCTCAGAAACCATGAACGTGTTTACTGAATATCACAGCGATCCGTCCAATAGTTGTTGAAACATTACACTTAAAACCACAATTCTTAACCTCATGGTCTTGCCAGATGAAAAGTCAGGGGATCACAAAAGTTAGCAGGATTCATCCTCTGGGTACCATGAATGTCTGTACGAAATTTCATGGCAATCCATCCAAAAGTTGTTGAGATATTTCAGTCTGGATCAAAGTGGTGGACCAACAATTGGGGAATAAAATTCCTTCCACGATCACTGATGCATATTTTATCACACACTTTCTGGTCCTTTGAGCTTTCAGCAGACATCATGTTACAGTGTATGTATACATTGCTTAATAAGTGCATCACTGTTTGGCTATCAACGCCGGAGCAAGAGCCTGAAGACTCTATAGAAACATACAGAAAACTGCAATATGTTCCTGGATAATAATCCCAGCTCCGAGAACTTAAACAACCTGATCTGTGTGTGTTTATATCTTTCTTACAGGCTGAACAGCACACTTATCATCACATGGATCATATTCACATACATCCATCACCTCCTTTTTTCCGCTCCTCCTCCAGGGAGACCCCTCAAAGCTGACCAGCTCTTTTGACGTTATAGAGTTTGATTACACGACCCTATTAAGGAAGTCCATCTGACACACAGCCACGCATGTAATCACGACTTCAAAGCTTTCAGCATGTAAATATTTCATCACAGTGACTCGGGCTAAAGATTAGTGTGTTGTGTTTGGCTGCAGGAGCACGAGACGTTAAATTGCAGGCTGGCTTTAATTTAGACGACACCTATGTTATTGTCAGTGGGTTGAATCGAAAAAAGGTTTCGAGATCTCAGCTGAGATTTCCGTGTCTTTGCTTTCATCATCTGGGGAGCGAATTTCAATCCCCAATCAGCGAGCTGTAGAAGCAAATTATAGAGATGGCTCCAGCTGAAAAATGAAGCTGGAGTCTGAATCTCACTGAAGACGACTACAGGAAATAAATCCAAAACAGTTTTGATTGTAAATTAACCGTTAAGTGTTCTTTGGCACTCTTTTGGCCCCATCTTACGACTGCTGCATTGATGGTTTCAGACCAATGCAGGTGTTCTTTTCAATGCCAGCACCCATGTTGTGGAAGTAGGTGGTTGTATTGTGGAAGTGGTGTCTTAATAGCGCCTTTCTAGTCCTCCGACCACTCAAAGCGCTTTTACCCTGCATGTCACATTCACCCATTCACACACTGGTGGCCGAGGCTACCATACAAGGTGCCACCTGGTCTCCTACTCCTCATTGAAAAAGAAGCTCTGCGCACATACACACGAGGAGCAGCATAACTTCATTGATTATTTCAGAAGCTAAAAGTTTAATTCCGTTTCCTCTGTCATGTTTTCAACTACAGTTTTTAGTTTTGTTGCATAAATGTCCCACGATACTTTCAGGGGGAAACCGCTCGCTTCTTCAATTTGCAGAATCCGCTATGAAAAGACAATCTGATCTGTTGAATTCATGTTACACCCAAAGCACGCCGTTGATTAATTAAGAGGTTAATACAACCCCTTAGGCCCTTGCACAGTACGTGACACCCAGACTATGTGCCAGTTGGACACGCCCTAAATGCACTTGTGCCATGCACTCTAGACCAGTGGTTCCCAACTGGTCCAGCCACGGGGTCCAAATTGCTTATCATTAGTTCAAGGTCCACAAAGTTTAATACATTCGGCGTCAGCTTGCGTTTGGCGATGTCGTCAAGCTAGTTTGCTGTCTCTGTTAAGTAGCTGTCCATTATTCACTCACTCTACATCAGGAAACAGCACTTCAGAATAAAAGCTTGTGCCTGAAATTCACTGTACTTCAAAAATACAAACTTGACACGTTCACAAGTCACTTGTGGTCCTTTCAGAATGGACCCATGACCCACTTTTGGACCGAGACCCACCAGTTGGGAACCACCAGACCATGTGCTATAGATCATTTAAATACAACCTGTTTCCTGGCAAGTTAACTTCCCCTGCCTCTTCCTGGCTTTGAGTCTATTCAGTATAAGTTCATGTTGATCTTAGATTTGAGTCTTCTGAGTTCTGCCAATGGGGGTCCATCATGGGAGCGGAGCCACGCCTCCAAAATGAATTGATAGTATTTCTGCAATGACAGACTGAAATGATCTTACCTGTTCTTTCAGGTAGCAGAGGCGATCAAGGAGAAGCAGACCTTCAATACAGGGAGCCAGGGTCACCTTCAACTACACAAAGATAATGACAGGAAATTACTTAATTTCCTATCAGTGTTTTTCACAGTGTTTCCTTTTCATCTATCTGGTACAAAATTCCTTATAAATTGTCCCTTTCAGGCGGCTCCCAGTACTGGATCTACATACTAAAACCTACCATGACCAGTGTCTTCCCAGTAGCTAGTGGGCGATCCCCAAAAACCATTTCACTGCTTTATGTCATGAAAGAAAATTGGTATTTTGGTTGACAACACAATTAGTGGCTTCAGCTGAAAGCAGAGGCTGGTTTTCTTCCCATTCTGTACAATCATTGCTGTATTACTTCCCTGCAGGCTACAATGATCTCACTTAATGGTCCGCAATTTATTGCCATTATACATCTCATTTTACAGGAATGAAAATGTTTTTTGCGCTCACCAGTTCCGTTACAATGTATTGAATACTCACCAAATTAAAAGCGTGCATCTCGCCCATTCGCGGTCTATATGTGTCGTGATAACTCTGGATGTCACTGTCAGAGAGCTGAGGAGAAAGAGTGCCAGCCATGTAAAGCACAATGTGAAGGCTCTGAATACAGATACAGGGAAATATAAAAGTGAGAGATGGAAGATGTGATGAAGAGTTGAGGTAGGAGACGCAAAAGAAAAAAAAAGGTTTCTGTCTTTTGGAGTTGTGAGTGACATTACACAGACAGAAATACGTCATCTGTATCCCCATGGATACACAGGCAGTCCAATGACCTCAACATCCTGGTGCCTGGCAACATCCTAAACCAAGGCCCTGTTTACACCTGATGTTAACATACACAAGTGGACAGCTCTAAGTCTGGCGTTAGAATGCATCTCCACATGCGTCCTGAGGGACCACCCGTGATTGGATCTCACTTCCTTTCCTCATCTCTATATGCAAATAAGCACATACATCATCTGTTGTTAGTTTAACTGGTGGGAGGCAGCGATGCACTTCCTGTGCCACATTTGCTGAAATTAAAAGACGAAGACATGGCTGCACGGACATATTCCAGACACAAATCAAGACCCTTGAAGAAGAGCCGGACTTTGAAGCCAATCTTACAGAGTGGAATTACAACGTTCAGGTCCGTCAGGTGCAGCATTTCCCACAGAATTAGACTGTATGTGTGACGGTAGCTGACGACAAGATGGAGGTGTGATCAGGTCAGAGCTGATCAGAACGATGGATATGAGAAGAGCAGTTGTAAAACAAAAAAGCAGATTTTTAGACCCAGTGCAATGAACAGTTTCACTTTCACTGTACCTGCCTTTCTGCTGCTCTGTCTGAGCCCAGAGTACGCTCTCTGCTGCAAGAATGCGGAGCAATAAATAACCGAACAGTACATATATTCTAACAGTGCACCTAATGAACAGTCCAGCTTCAAAAATAGAAAATCAAAACATGGCAGCACATGTTTTAATTGTGGCAGGCCGCCACAAATAAATGAATGTGTGCCATGGGGTCCAAAAAGGCTTCTTCCCATTGACTTAAGGCCTTAACACACTGAGTCCGTTTTTTTCATCCAATAGTCGCATGTCTAAAACTAACTACAACTTCACGTTGTGTCAATCACGTGTGCACACTGAGGGCCGAATTCACAAAGAATGAACTGCGGCCGCTGATAGCACTTTGAATTGCACTTCATTTGCACCCGCAGTTTGCTCGGTCTTAACGTCCTATTCACAAAGGATATTGCGCTAATGATATACCAGCGCAAACACGCCCACAAAGTTTGGCAGCTGAGTGCAGTTTACCCCTGATTGCAATTAGCCACATGGCAAAGTATAAATGCTGGCTTTGCGCCAAGAACACCGTGGCAGAACAATGGCAGACTTTGTTTGGCAAAGTACTGAATAGCGTATACCCTCATGTAGTGATGTCTGCTGGTGAGTCAGTCTAACAGTGTCGGATGGGTTGAGGCTGTGGATTTGACCAAGTTTGACCACTTTATCACTATTCCCTCTCACTTGTAGCTGTTTTTTCGTTATCTTTTGAATTTAATATGAATTATGGAACCGTTTTTGTTCACGTTTGTTTCCCCCTTTTCGTAAAATAAATTATTGAAAGTTGCTTTTGAAGTGCGTGACAGAAGTGCGTTTTGAGAACGACCGCAGACTGTTATCTGTTCAACGCATCAGTATCTTCGGATGCCATTAAAGTAATAATGATTATAATAATAATGTCAAAATATTATTTACAGACTGATTTAACAGACGATCACTGCTGCCACGATCACTGGAAAGTCTGGGCGAGAGGCTTCCACAGAGGAGCGCCCAGTTTGCACCAGCTTTCTAAAGACATTATTTACTTCACTCAAACTGAGTGTGGCTATTAGCGCTGGTGTTAGTGAATTACACGTTGTTTATCAATGAGGCTCATTTGCATAGAAAGGGGACATTTTTGCGCCAAATATATGCATATTACCACATTTAAATACGTGCAAATAACACCGGAGCACCGAGACGCAATCTGCTTGGCAGCGCAGTTAGTGGAGCATTTCACCCTCTGCGCGTGCTTTGTGAATTAGACGGTATCTGTTTGCTCCATTTTTACCGGTTTAGCGGCTGCAAAAGCCACGCAAACCTTTTGTGAATTTGGGCCTGAGTCTGAAACTTTTGTCCATCATTAAAATTTTGAAACAATTTAACCTAATTTAATTGAATCTAACTTTTTTTTGGCTGCATGCACATGGATCTATAAAGAGAACTGGATACAGCGTTGGAGGCGGGGCCCCGTTCATTTCTATGGAAGTTGCTCAGTAGCGCAAGAAGCCAAAAAAAGTTCAACTGCCACGTATACAATTACTGGGATGATTGGCACTGCTTCCGCAGACACACTAGACACTTCCCCGGCTGAGCTGGCTACTTCCGCTTTGGTGCTCCACTTACTTGAATGGAGATAAAATGATTTAATTGTGCAGCTCTTTTAGACTTAAGAAATGTTAACGGACCAAACGGATCAAATCATGAGAGCAAAACGAGCCATCTCAAGGGGGCTATGATGCTTGAAAAAATGGATCACTGATTTACAGACTCTTTCGCCATGTAACTCAATGGGAAAAAGTCTGGGGGGCCTGTTCAAGCACCACTGACAAACTTTCATAGGGATGAACAGGGTCCCGACACCTACGCTGTATCCACATCTCTTTATACATCCATGAAGCAAATGTGACAATCGCCAACTTTCAGAGGGTACAAGCGGACAGAGATGTAGGTAGGAGCAGTAAGACGAAAGAAGGGGGGCTGAGGTGTTACGTACTTCCACCTACAAAGAGTATGTTAGCTGGATAGGCCCAGGACACATTAGTGTGCACACTGCTGAAAGAGTGTGGCCATCCAGAACACCTCCGAATGTGGTCCAAGTGATCGGTTCTCAAGACACATTGAGAACGTACTGGGTGCATTCACACCTGTACTTCAAGATGTCCACATGTGATCTGGTCATCAAAGACATATATTAACACCAGCTGTAACCAGGGCCTACAAAAGCAAGCATCTGAAGGACCTGTGTAGTTCACTAACCTGACATGAATTGGAATATTTTATAAATAAAAACCAACAGGGGAACATTTCCCTCCAACAGTGCCAAAATGATGCCTGCTTTCCACTGTGTGCTTCATGTCTCTTGTTGACTGTAATATTCTGGTCCTGACCTTCGATTCATCCAGTTCCAGTCTGCGTAGAGCTCGACGAATGTAGTCCACAAAGGATTTAGCCTTGGAGTAGACGTTCCCAACTCGCTTTTCACTGCAGAGCAAACACACGTACATACATCATCAACCTCTCTCAGTCCCTGAACGTCTCATTTCTGCCCAGTGAAATAAACAATACTTGCTCCTTTACTCTCATGTTGTGTCTGGTGTGTTGCCGTCTGCTTTAAATCACACCCTTAGCAACCACAATCAAACAATTAAACACTTCTACAGGACTAAACTGTGATGAATAGGTGCTGCTCAGACAAAAGTAATAGATATTCGATCCTGATCTGATGTTAGTCATTAAATGTAAGGTCACAAAGCAGCAGCGGGGTGCTTGGAGTCTTTTAAGGCGTTTGATAAGGGCTAATTGAAATCTGTCTATGGCTCAATGTATTTAGTCAGAGGAGGGTAATGACCGTAAACCACTAAATATCTGGACCGAAATGCCTGAAAATTCTCACTCATTAGGAATGCTAAATAGCACCCGCAAATGACCCCAGAACTTCAGATTTTATTGGTATAAACCAGCAGGTTTTGACTTCTGAGAGCCAGCAGTTACTCATGTTTGGAAAGTAAAGCGTAACAAACTGATCCAAGGCCAAACTGCAGCCTATTCTGCTTTTTCTTCATGTTTTCAAGGTACTATATGAGCAGAAATATCCATTTCTAGAAATAAAAAAGGACAAGTCCATAAAGGATGCAGCTAACATTTTCTTTCATTATTGGATAAGGTTTTGTTATGGTCAAGACAACCTGCTAGATCACATAAACACATTTAAGAAGCTGGAACTCGGTAAATGTAATTTTCACTTGAAATGATTTAATCAATCAACCATCAAAATTGCTCTTAATCAAACTTTTCTAATCGGCTAATTCTCCGCTTCATGGACTGCTTTGTTTCAGCACTAAAGTCCACATGCCATAACACATGAAGACAACTGCTGGCCATCAGTGAGTGTCTGTGGCCTTAGTTTTTGCGGTGCACTGTTGCCACAAGTCGGCCCTGATTGGCCCTTGTTGGCCATTCTGCATGTTGAATCAGCAGCAGATCAGGCAGGTCCAGCGGAGCCCCTTGTTGAGTTAGTTCAGCTCAGTGTACCAGACGAGATCAGAAGTGAGGAAAGCAAAAAAAATTACTTAAGTCAAGAGGGTGTGAGATCGAAACACACTTGTTACATTAGGTAAGATTATTGATTTAGCCACTGAGCTCTATAGCAGAAACGGATCATAAGCCCCTTTGACACTGCCAGATTTCCGGCGAATGTTTAGACGAGCGTTTAGACGCACAGAGCCGGATTGGCGAGTTGATCCGAGGTGCCCAATTTTCCGCCTCGTAGGGTAGTCATATTGGCGGAACCTTTTTGGTTTAAACCGAACAAGGCAGCCTTCCGCAATGGGAGGGGCTGTTGATGACTCATGGGAGGAGCTGTTGATGACGCCACACGTGCGTCAACAGGAAACAACTGATAGCAGGAATTAGCGAGCAGCTAGTAGCAAGAGGGAAACACAAACCTGACTGACAGACACTGTAAAGATGAGCAACTGGGGAGACAGGGAATTGCGCGCCCTCCTTGTCCTCGCAAACAAAGAGGCCATAAACCGCCAGATGACGGGGATGGTGAAGAACGGTCCGACTTACGAGAGAATCACCGAAGGACTGACTAGCTGCGGCTTCCCTCCCACGTCACTGTTTACGTCACACGCTGAGCTACACGTTTTGTTACTTGCTCACGCCCCCCATTGCCCCGAAAAAGGCGCATTCTATAAACAAAAGTAGGTAGGTGGCATTTTGCTGCACTCCTTAATTTTGTTTTCATACTGCCAATGCTGAAAAAAGACTGATTGGGCTTTCCTGCAAATTCCAAACACCTTTGGTATGGTGCCTCTGGAACCAGAAGTAACCCTTCAGACATGGTACCTAGACCCTAGTGTTTCAACCGAAAACTGTACTCTTAAATGTGGGCGGGGTTGTTGTCACTCACTGCTCTGTCCAGCACTCACTGTATTTCCTCCTTTATCAGTCTGCACCTCGTTTATCATCCATAGAACAAGAAAATAGGGCTTTTGACTGTGTTACTGTTCACTAGCGCACGGTAAGTATCTTTTGTTCTTTCAACATTGGGTTGTTGTTAATGTGCTAACTTGCTTACTAGCGTCTTGAATCCAGAACATAAGTATCAGTTGGCTGTAGTTTTTGCGGTGTGTTCAAGTGCAGCTTTTTTTGGCGACGGGAGGAGACGCCACATTCAGCTTTTGTCACCACCAGTTCTTTGATGTCGGTTTGGTGTGTCTGGGCCTTACGATGCAAAACCTGCTCTGCTACTGAGAACATGTGACTTTTGTTTTGCAAGTCTTGGTTCGTTTGTAGACTAAATAAACCGGAAACAACAATTTTTCCTTTTTGATTTAGAAGCAACAACAAGAAAAGTTTTTTTCTTTTAGTCTGCTACTGAAATGAGGACCTCTACCTCACATGTGTTTCTGTCCGTGGACACTGTGAAATAACACCCAGAAAACACTGTGCTACACACTTGCTGTAATTCCTCATATAAAGTGCTGCCAGATGTACACTCCTGGAAGTTACCTTTTAAAGGAGCTGTAGTGATCCCTCAGAATAACATGCAGAACCGCCCGGTAAAACAGAGACTCCATCTGAATCTGCAGAAAAGATCAAAGATAACTCGACTCAACATGATGCAGTTTACCGAATTTCTCGCTTAAAAACTTTGTTCCTCTCTTGTGATTCATCCTCCAGCGTGTGTGCGAACACTTGATGAATATTTCTGACACTCTCCAAGCCTGATGCAAGACTAGCAGGCAATCAGGGCCTGCTTTTGGATTCAGACCCCGGTTCCAACAAGTAATCAATCTTACCGTGATTGCATTAATATTTATAAACATTCCATATTAATGGCTGCTGGTATTGTGTGTCAGGCTCTGGCCCGCAGCTCCGAGCTCTACATTTCAAATAAATACACCGTAGTCAATCACAGGCTTGTAACAATAGCAGAATTTATGCGCTGATTGTTTGAAGATACGAAGATAACACAGTTCGGAGCGACTCTGAACACCCAGATTTGATGTTTGGAATAATTTGATAGATTTGTTTTGATGTGTGTGAAGTCGTGGCAGTTTACACAAAGACATTTAGCTCCCATTCTTGTGCGATCATGACGTTAATGTATATATTTGTTCCAATTAGTATGCATGCATTACTTACCCCTTGGCCGAGTGAAACTCTCTCGAGTGCCTGTTTTTGAGGAAAAAGAAAAGCGTTAACACAAAGTATTTTTTGGGAAAGACAGAGCTGTGGCTGCAGTTGTAAAGGCAGAAACCACACATGAATAAAACCTCTTCAGATGTTTCGTACCCACTGAAACCTCTAACTAAGCTACAGAATAAAGGCATAGTTTGTATTTTGGACATATTACGCCGCCTATCAACAAGTCAATAACAGTTTAAGTGTGCACTGTTTGTCTGTTTGTGTTGTTGTGTTACCTTGGTGAATACAAACTAATCTTTTTAAATGTTAAAATCACACAATAACACAAACAGACATACTGATCGAGGCAGCGGTAGACCAGCAGCTCCTGTGTTCAGCGGTGTTAAATCACAGTTTTTCTCAATGGAGTCTGGTGGCTTTGAACACAGCAATGTAACGGCTTCATTTCTCCATTGGAAATGTCTGACAGCAAGGAAAGGCAGTAAAAGTTTACTAAATAAATAGTTACCTCAAACCAAAATTGATATTTAGGTGGCCTAAGTTACATTTTGCTGCTGCCGCCCGCCACAGCCATACAACTATTCCTTTAATCCTTTGAAACCCCAGCAATAATGCTTGATTTCTTTTTTAAAAAAATGAGGAGAAGGCAATGAACAATGAGGAAATAGAAGAAATTAAAAAATGGCAAGAAATTGTTAAAAAGAGAAAATTTAACAAGAAAATTTGTAAAATAAATAAATAAAAAAGGAGAGAAAAAGATGAATTAAATTAAATTAAATTAAAAATTTAAATAAAAAAATATATTAATTCTATATCATAATTTTAAAATGTAATAATAATAACAATAAAAATAAATATAGTTTTTCCCCTTTTTTTTTTTTTTTTTTTAATAATTTTCTAAATCCTTTTTTTTGTTATTTTTTATTTGTGGGACATTTCTTACCAAGTTGCTCGTTGCCTTTTTTCTCATGTTTCCAAAATAAATCGCACCAATTTGCTCTGGGTTCAAAGGTTTAAATACTTGCGAAAGGCATCTGAAAGCAGCACTGACATCACTTCAGGTTTCAAAGAGTTAAAGACCTTACATCATCACTTTTGACTTTGGAGAAAATTCACTATGCTTCAAGAGGCTGTGCTCAGAAATGTTATGCTTTACGGTAACAATTTTAAACCTATATAAAAAAACTGACACCATTTATTATTTCAGTTTTGTACTAGACAAAGAAGAAGACATAATCTATTACTCTTTAGCGCTTTCTAGATTGTACAGCACTTTGGCAAACCTCGGTTGTTTTAAATGTGCTATATAAATAAATTTGACCTTGACCTTGACCTTGACTCCCTGGAGGGTATTTCAATTTTTTACCCTCTGTTGTCACACAGGCCCGAAATACACATACATGCACAAACAGGACCATATCATGCATTAAATAGAGGGTGTGGTGCCTTGCTCAAGGGCACCTTGGCAGTGCCCAGGAGGCGAACTGGCACCTCTCCAGCCACCAGTCCAACGCTCCGTACTTGGTTCACGTGGGGACTTGACCTGGTGACTCTCCGGTTCCCAAGCCAAGTCCCAAAACTGAGCTCCTGATCCCATATTATATGTAGCTTACTTATTTATTGTTACTTTTAATTTAATTTAATTTTTAGAGTGTTTCTTACTACACATTCAGTGTTTATTTTTGTTATAGATTTTTTTTAAATTTAATTTTATTGATTTAATTGTTCTCTTTTTGACTGTATCCTATGATTTTTGACAAATCGACTATATTTAAATGTACAGGTAACTGTTTATAAAATCAATCGATTTTGTTTGACAAACCAATAACACCGACAAAAAGACACTGAACACAAAAAAAAGAAAAGAAACTCACTCAAACTGTGTGAAGATCACATGTTCATGTAGGTAAGATGCTGCTGTGCACATTTTCCATGCTGTCGTCTCAACTCACCAAACATGCCGACATCCTGGCGTTCCTGCCGCAGAACCAGGACTGGTCGCGGAGGTACTGACTCAGAGGGAACCCACACACGCCGCGCGAACACTCTGTGAGGAAACACACAGAGATAATGGGGTAAACTGATTGATCAGTTTGGCTGATTAATGGGGGCTTTTTCAAACAGCTGCAATCAGTGGGTATGAATTTTAAATATTTGGTAGCTGGGGAAACTTGCGGGAGTGGGGAACAGTTTAATTTAGGTTTATGAAGACAGAGAATATTCTTTTTCTTGGAGTCTATGAATAGAAGAATTAAGATGACACTCGTTGCTACTAAATATTTTGCCTTAAAAAGACTGCTGTTAAGCGCTGCACATTTTCAACCACAGCAGACATTAGCACACGCACAAACACACACACAGATTCCCAGTGGGAGGGTACTGAGTGTGACTCCTTGACAGCCTGCCATCCTTTTCATGTCATCTCTAAAAGGGTCAGTGACTGAGGCCAAGGCGCAGGGGATCCAGAGGGACACAGTCAAAAGAAGCAGTAATAACATGTGCAGCTGGGGCCGCAAGCTGCTGTGGACACGATAACATGTTAGCAGTCAGGTTAGCTTCCCTCCTGCACCGGCACATGGCTTGCTGACAGAGGCCCTCGGAGGCAACTGAAGCGGACAGGCCTTTCCTCCGTCTGAAGGGTGCATTACAGAACGTACGCAGAGCTGTTTACAGTGGCGACCCTTCACATCTGAAGTGGCCACGTACACACACTCCCCCTCAGAGAGACAAATATTTCTCATGTCCTCATGTGCAATTGTACACTTGCAAATATTTTGAGAAGACAGGCTCCAGAATGCGCTCATCTTGTTGTGAGTAAACCACACAAGTTTGGACTCCCGATTCCACATATGGTGTTGAACATGGATGATGCGTTTAAGGAATTGCTTCATTCCCAAATCACATAAATGTAGCTCTCCCTAATGAAGCTTTTCAGCTCTTTAGCTCTTTTTTAGGGTGCAGTAGGCCACCGCAGGAGCTGGCCCGCATCCCAGACTGCACTGTAAGGCCAGCAGGGGAGAGAAAGTGTGTGTGTGTGTGTGTGAACGCTTTTGTTCACGTCTTTAAAAGATCAAGCCAGAGTTTGAGAAAGAGTGTTTTCAATCAGCTGTCGTGATATCATTTTCCGCCCCGTTTTTGGCTGGAGCTGCGACGGAGCCCTGATGACGTGAGGGTCAGAGGTCGCACTGTTAACAGGAGATGACGCGATACTGTATCGACTGTGGCGAGGGCTCTTTCTCATAGATGTGCAGAGGCTACAGTCCCAGCATGAGGACATGTAGACGATTTCATACCTCATAAACTGAGCAAGTGAAGGAGCATGAAACGAGGATGATATCAGCCTATTGTCCTGCGTTTTGGCACCTGAGTTAACCTCAGAGGTGAGGTGGTTGTAGAGGACAACATACAACTCAAGTTCTCAAATCACTGGACATAAGCAGCAAGGCTGACAACCAGTATTGAATGCCTGTGACCTTTGACCCCTCAGGCTGCACTGCATTTAAAACCAACATGATTGTATAAAGGATATCACTAAACAGGCTCAGGAACACTTTGGAAAACCATTGTCGGTAAATCTATGAATTCAAGTTACGACTCTACCATGCAAAGTGAACGCCATATATCAACAACATCCAAAAACATCGCTGACTTCTCTGGGCCTGAACTCATCTGACATGGACTGACACAAAAGGGAAATATGTGCTATGGTCTGACAAGTCCACGTTTCAAATTGTTTTTTCGGAAAACACAAACGTTCTGCCCTCTGATCGAAAGAGGAAAAGGACCGTTCGCATTGTTCCCAGTGCAATGTTCAAAGTCACCATCTGTGGTGGTATGGGGGTGTGTTAGTGCCCATGGTATCAGGGGTAACTTGCACATCTGTGAAAACGCCATGAATGCTGAAAGGTACATACAGGTTTTGGAGCAACATATGCTGCCATTTCAGGGACGTCCCCTCTTATTCCAGCAAGAAAAGTCCAAGCCACATTCTGCACGTGTTACCACAGCGCCGCTTCGCAGGAAAAGAGTGTGGGTACTAAACTGACCTGCCTGCAGTCCAGATCAGTCTCCCATTGAAACTGTGTGCCGCATTATGAAGCACAAGATACGTCAACGGTGAGCGTGGACTGTTGAGCAACTGAAGTCGTATATCGAGCAAGAACAGGAAAGAAGTTTATTTTCGGATCATAAGTGCTATATGGTAGGCAACTGGACTTGCTCGAGTTTCTTGAAGACGTTTCGCTTCTCATCCAAGAGTCTTCTTCAGTTCTAATGGAGTGGTGCGGAGTCGCAGGCTTTAAACTCTGTGTGGGTGTGAACCCTTACAGAGTCGTTGAGGTCACAGCCAAGTCGTTGACATACCCGGCCATCTTGTGTGTCGTTAGGGTTAGAAGGTACCAGGTGAGAATGGGTGTTGAGTCGTCTGGGGAAGGATCCCAAGACTGGGTGATAAGTGGTGTCGTAGGCCACCTCCTCTGTTTAACGATGGTTGTTCCAGTTTGACGTAGATGGCTTCTTTCACACCTCTTTCAAACAATCTGTCTTCTCTGGCCAAGACGTGAACGTTGCTGTCCTTGAAAGAATGTCCCTTCCTTTAGATGTAAATGGACAGCCGAGTCTTGACCTGGCGAGCCATGCGCTTGTGGAGTGGTTTGTTTTGCCGATGTACAAATCTGTGCATCCTTGGCTGCACTGAACTGCATACACTACATTAATCTGCTTATGCCTGGGTGTTTTGACCTTAGGGTGGACAAGCTTCTGCCTCAGTGTGTTGTTGAGTTTCATTTTCGAAACGTCAACAATAAGTGCCCTCGGTTGCCAAATGCTTACTGAGTGTCATCAGTCTGAACATGAAATATGTCTTTGTACTGTACAGCATCACAACTTCTTTGGAATCAGGATTGTACAATTTCCTCAGTATGGAAGTCCAGGCCGACTAAATAGCAGCAAAGTCCTCCTAAACCAAGAGTAAATACAACATGGCAGTTGCAGGATCAATCACAGAGGTCAAAAAAGTCTCATTCTCAGCAGCCTTAAACAGCCATCCTAAAGCCATAAATCCTCTCTAATGGCTCAAACAGCGAGTTTCTGAGCTCAACTCAATCTCCAGAAGGGTAACTTGGCCAAGTCTCCAGACTCTCAGCAGAATATTTGACTTGTTTACTATAAAATATGACTATAAGTGTTTATGTGGCTTCGTGTGGGAAGATGATATTTCATTTCAGATTGGATCAGAGTGATGAAGCGAGCGCTGCAGGTGTCTGAGGTGGGATTATGGGACGTGCGTGAGTGAGAAACGGAGCAGAGAGACAGAAATAGAGAGGAAGACTATGAGCTGTGTGCACAACGGAAACCATATGTTCTCTGAAAACGGGTGGAGTGTGTGTGTGTGTGAAGGCTGTCCCGGCTTCAGGGAGACAGACACAAACACACTAATCTGTCCCTGTCTGTGATCTGTATCTGTGTGTCACTGTGTGTGTGTGTGTGTGTGTGTGTGTGATTACCCTGTCCGGCAGGGTCAAACTCCTCAGACAGCAGGTGATAGCAGCAACCCACGCTGCAGACTGCGGCCAACTCCGCTTTAGCCACAAACATCCTCAGGGTGCTGGGAGCCAAGTCACCACACGTGTGCAGGCCGACCATGACCGCATCCTGGAATTCAGAGAAAGCACGCAGAGAAAGGAGAGAGCAGAGGGGAGCGGGTGGAGATCGATGGTTAAATTTATTGATGATGACGCGCTGCAGATTTGGCACGGCGATAACATCCCACACTTGCTCGGGTAATGCAAACTCCAGCTGCTGTGGCAGACTTGTAATTTCAGGAGCTGCTGTGGGAATCGGGCTTTGCTACTTTACTGTGCGGCTGGCCCCCTATCTGCACCACCGCCGCTGCCCAAACACACACTAAATCTATTTTCAACGTTTACTTTTTCTTTTTTAACCTTGGATTTGCTCACCTCCAGCTCGCCGATGAGCTCTCGGAGCTCTGTTTCCGCAGTAACATATGAGGTGAGGGGTGAAAACACGACGCTGGCGCTGGCGGTTCTGTTCTGAGCTTTCCTCTCCAGGTTCTCCCTCTTCCTCCTCTCCCTCTCCTTGGCGCTCAGCTGGCTGGCGGGAACTCTGGGGGATGTAGGCTGAAGCACATCCACTGACAGGGCGTTAAGGAAGAGCTCCTCTGGCTCTGAAGGCCTTTCCACTGCGGCGTTGACATCTGACGAGTCGATTAACACTTCCTCCTCCTCCTGTGACACAGTTCCTGCCCCATCACTAAATAACACATCATCACCTCCATCTGGTCCAGGCTTTACTTCTCCTGACTCCTCCTGAGGTGAATGTGTGGCCTCGCCCTGTGCCCTCGCCGCCTTGCTGCGTTTCTGGTATGCCCTGGAGAACTTCTTCAGCTTCCTGTTCCTCTCATGGGCTCCGTGGGTGTTGGTGCTGGAGGAGTCGATGCCGTAGACCTGGAGGCCGTACTGCAGAGACAGGAAGGAGCTCAGGTAGCCCTTCCCAGAGCCGACATCTATCACCTGGGTGGGAGAGAAAGGAAAGAGGGAAATATAAAATCCAAAATCAGGTGTCTGAGATACAACTTCCAACTGTTTACATTTCAATCAAGTCTCTTCTCAGCAGAGCATTTAAATATCCAGTGTGTAAGAATTAAGAAGATATACTGGCAGAAATGAGATCATTCTCTCCTTCATAAATGTGAACGCTGTGGTATAACAGGTGTCGCACAACTTGGTTAACAAGTTATTTAAATATGAGGTATCAGTTTGTAAAAATCAGTAAGACTGAATCACACCTTACAGGAGTAACGTGGTGTTCCACAAGGTTCGGTGTTGGGACCCTTTTAAAGTTATTTATACTTTATTCAAATGATGTTTCTAATATGGTGAAATTTGTAGCTTTTGCTGATGATACCAATTCATTCTGTTCATTTGATGTCATGATCAGCACTGCTTCCACATCCACAAAGCAGGACCACTAGAAACTTCTGTCGACAGAGCTGGCTACTTCTGGTTTAGTGCTCTGCTAACGTAAATGGAGATAAAATGATTTGTTCTTGTGGTTCTTCTAGACTTTCTAAATGTTACTGGACAGAATGGATCAAGTCCTGATAGCTAAACATGTCATGTCACGGAGGCTGTGACGATCAAAATATGTATCCACTGATTTACAGACCTCTCTTTCACAACGTTAGTCTAAGGAAAATGTGTTTTTGGGCCCTATGGCATCAAGTAACAGGCGCAGGAGTTGTAATTCCAGTTTGGCCACTATGAAAATGGTGACCAAACAGTGACTTTGAAGCCCTGGCGCACTTCCTGGGGGGGCTTAGTCCACCATGTTGCACCAGCACATTTCTACAGTAGCATTTCTACAAACCATTAATTTTTTCATGCTGCTGTAGTTAGCAGCTGACGGCGAAAGGTTTTTTTCACGTGAAAGTACCTTATTCTGTTTTTTTTTTACCAGTTTAAATCACCGGGTCCATTTGTTTTGGAGAGGAAGAGACCTCTGTGGATGATTCGGCTCCTGGTAAAACCTCCTGAACGTCTGGATCTCAAGTTATCAGAGAAAAATGGTGAGCGCACATTAGCAGGAGCTGGGCTTGCGGCTTATCTGCGACATGTCAAATGTTTACCGGTTTAAAACACCAGGTCTTATTCCACCAGGAGAGGAATAGACCTCTGCGGATGATTCGGCTCCCGCTTAACACCTTCTGAACATTGAACACTGAAGGAATCCTAACCATGAGAAGTTTCAGTTGGTTGCAATCTCCAGTCGTCACCACTAGATGCCACTAACTCCCCCTAAACCTTACACCCCTGGACCTTTAAGGTATTCATTGCAAGTCTAAAAATGTTTCTCTACCTGTTTGACTCCACAGCGCTGGGCCAGACAAGCCACCACCTCAGACATGGACAAGACCTCGTGAGATTTCTTCGAGTTCATAAACTCATCCGTCTGCAGCTCAGCACCTGGGTTAGACAGAGCAAACGTTTTATTCAAAGCATCAGAATGTTTATGCCTTCCAAAGACCTCATATCATCCCAAGACAGCTGGACATCCGTGGACAATCCTTGACTGGTTTCCTACTCTCAGCATGTAACAGAGTTTTCAGACGGTCTGTTCCTCCCTACCTATCTCTGCAGGTGGAGCGCCAGACTTGGACCTGTTCTCTCTGAGGGCCTGCAGTAGCTCATCCCTGCTCATGCAGATGCCAAGGCCAGGGAGGGAGTGGGCCTGGGCTGCCTGCAGCAGCTCACCGATATCAACCAGCTGGTTTGTGTCATTGCAAAACCCAAATGTGGTCCTGGATTGCTCTGTTTGGGGGGAAAGACACAGAAATAACTGTAAAGTTGCACAAAACTATGTTAATATTTTCGTGTGACGTTTGCGGATAAGCCACAAATGTCACTGTGAACAGTTTTAATTTAAATTACTTTCTCGAATATATGGTGTCGTAAAGATTCCTATTTTCCTTTATTTTGACACGTCTTTTCATTACATACCTCACTTCCTTTCCTCAGCACTGATTGGTTCCTTTCACTCTTTGTAAGGTTCAATTTTATTTTTGTAATTTGGGTGACATTTTACAATGAATATTTATTCAAGCAATGCAATAAAAACTTGAAATAACACAAAAAGAAATCACAATTAACTAGAACAACTTGTAGGTGGCCAGGTTTTCAATTAAAAAAACATTTTGGCTAATTGTCAGTTGCACATACTGCTGTAATAAATGTTAATCTATTAATATATACTTGTTAATAAATGGATCTTGGATGAGATTATCTGCAACAGGTGTTACGCCAAAATCTGTGACCAATCAGAGTTTGCCACCCAAATAGGAATCATACATCATCATACTTTATAGCATATTTTATTATAACAGGTCACAAAATCTGATGGGTCACCATTTCCTCTGACCTGAGAAGAGTTTTTTTTTTAGCTACACTACTCCATTTTTTTTTTTTATTACACTTAACTGTGAAAGCTGTCACCAAATATAGTGTTTGACAGTTGTGATTTCTGTCAGTCAGACTGTGTGACACCAGAGCAGTGCAATGTACAGGGCGATTAGCTGCCAGCTTTACCATTATTTTATTATATTTTACTTTGTATGTCTTAATATTGCCTCATTTTATTTGCATGAAACCCACGCTGTTTTAAATCCAGGATCAACCATGTAAAGCACTTTGTAACTTTGTTTTGAAAAGCACTCTATAAATAAAGTTTATTATTATTTTTTATTGGGATAAATCATACGGAAAAGTGTTGACCACATACTGACAGGTGAGGTGTATCTACTATCTGAATATTACGGGGTCAAAATGTTTGGCTAACAGCTGGCAACACCACTGGAATTCCTGTTAGAGTCACAACCTGGCAACCCAAAAGGTGCTCTACCTAATGGCTGATGACTCCTTTATAAAATATGAGTAAATAACTTTTAATTAATCATTAATAAAGTTGGTAACAACTTATAAAACGTTTATAAAGGATGTCTTATCAGAAAGTGGTACCCACAATGCTTTTCTACAAACTTTAAAACACCTGACTGGATGTGTTTACCTGTTCCTCTGTGTTCTGGCGCCCCCTGCTGGTCACTACACGAGCTAACGGCCACCAGCACCTCCTCAGGAGACACCGCCATGAACCGCTGCCACACGTCCTGAGTGTAAAACTCCACAGTGTGAGCGTTAGCGATGCTCAGAGTCACAGACAGGAACGTTTTGACTTCATCTATTCGGTGTTGAATTTCTGTGAGGCTGTATGAGGAGGGAAACATTTTAAAAAGCTCCTTAAAGAGGAACCGAGTGAAGGAGTGAGGCACACAAGAAGTCGTCCACTGCTGATGATCGACCAGGCATTAGCAATCGAAAATACTGCTCGATGATCTTGTATGTATTTTTTTTTTATCTTGTCTTTTTGAATGAAATATACATTAGCACACACACAAAGGGAGTCACTTTTTAACAGAAAAATTAATAATTATTTTTAGTTCATTATCTGGTATTTTATTACCAGATACACGAAAAAATCATTTGTAAAAAAATATTTCAAGCATTAAGAAACGTATTTTTCAACTTTATAAAGAAATTGAGCCTTGTAGGAATATTGATTATTCTTCCAAACGATATAAACAGCTTATCCAAAGCTGGTTCAAGGGCGCAGCACGCTGAGTAAATATTCCAGACGTCCCTCTCCCCAGCAACACTTTCCAGCTCCTCCTGGGGGACCCCAAGGTGTTCCCAGGCCAGATGAGATATGTAATCCCTTCAGTGTGTTCTGGGTCTGCCCCGGGGCCTCCTTCCAGTGTGACGTGCCCGGGACACCTCTAACGGGAGGCGCCCAGGAGGCATCCTGATCAGATTCCCGAACCACCTCAACTGACCCCTTTCGATGTGAAGGAGCAGCGGCTCTACTCCGAGCTTCTCACTTTATCTCTAAGGCGGAGCCCAGCCACCCCACGGAGGAAACTCATTTCAGCCGCTTGTATCCTCAATCTCATTCTTTCGGTCACTACCCAGAGCTCATGACCATAGGTGAGGGTTGGGAGGTAGATGGACCAGTAAATTGAAAGATTTGCCTTCCGGCTCAGCTCCCTCTTCACCAAGACAGTCTGCCACAACACCTGCATCACTGCAGACGGAGTGTCTTGTAGGGGGTACTGCGGGAATATGGGGTATTGGGGTTGCTGCTACAAGCCATTGAGTCCTTGGCATAAAGTCAAACACGTTCTCAGTGGGTGTTGGCCTTCGCCAGGGTTGTCCCTTGACTCAGATTCTGTTCGTGATATTCATGGACAGGATCTCCAGGTGCAGCCGGGGAGAGGAAGTGCTCCGGTTTGGAGACCTCAGAATTGCATCTCTGCTTTTTGCAGATGATGTGGTTCTGTTGGCCTCATCACACCGTGACCTCCAGCATGCACTGGGGCGGTTTGCAGCCAAGTTTAAAGTGGTCAGGATGAGAGTCAGCACCTCCAAATATGAAGCCATGGTTCTCTGCTGGAAAACGGTGGATTGCCCCCTCTGGATTGGGAGAGAGTTAGTGCCTCAAGTGAGGGAGTTCAAGTATCTCGGGGTCTTGTTCACGAATGAGGGTAGAATGGAGCGGGAGATGGATCGGCGTTTTTGTGTTGCTACTGCAGTGATTCAGGAAGGCGAAGCTTTAGATTTACTGGCTCCTCTTTATCCCAACCCTCACCTATGGTCATGAGCTCTGGGTAGTGACCGAAAGAATGAGCTCAAGGATACAAGCGGCCGAAATGAGTTTCCTCCATGGGGTGGCTGGGCTCAGCCTTAGAGATAAGGTGAGAAGCTTGGAGTAGGGCCTCTGCTCCTTCGCGTCGAAAGGGGTCAGTTGAGGTGGTTCGGGCATCTGATCAGGATGCCTCCTGGACACCTCCTGTTAGAGGTGTTCCAGGCACGTCCCACTGGTAGGAGGCCCCGGGACAGACCTAGAACAACCTGGAGGGATTACATATGTCATCTGGCCTGGGAACACCTTGGGGTCCCCCAGGAGGAGCTGGAAAGTGTTGCTGGGGAGAGGGATGTCTGGGGTGCTTTGCTTGGCCTGCTGCCCCCGGATGAAAATGGATGGATGGATGTATATGGTGAAAATAAATGTATTTAAGGCAATACATTTTGAGACCCCCTCAGCAATTCACACTCATATGGTAGCAGAGTCAACTCGTTAAATAAATTATACAAAACAAACCTTCCATCTTGGTCAAAATACCAGAAATTGTGACGTAGTTTGACAGACTTTTTGTTTTCATGTATCAGTTAATATTTGTATGGAGGAAAAATGATACTTCTTTGATTCATTTCTAAACCAATTTAATTAGGATTTCTGACTTTTATTAATTTATGTGAGAGAATGTGTTTATCTTGTCCTCCGTCATCGATTTTTCAGGTCTGCCTCGCACACGTCATCACCCCGCGTCCTACAGCATGCAGTCTGAAGCCCGCATGAGCGTTGTAAACATTTCACTTTCCCTGGCAAGTTTTAGCTCAAATGGCACCAACAGATCAGAAAATGAAGAATAAAAAGTTTGCAGCTAAAGGTGGCAACTGGAAGAAATCACAAAATAACGCTCCGGGTGTCAAGAAGAAGAGGAAATGGGTCCCCGAGCACAAAACATACGAGGGTAGTGTTAAGGAAGGTACGTTTCTGCTAAATGCAGCTAAAAGCTACTCTGTAAAAGTAGTAAGAAACAGTAGTTAGATAATTTATGGGAGTTTGGTTTATTTACTCGGCTGTATAGGAAGAGAAAGACAGCCAACAATGGGGCGCAGCCTGTCCATACATCTGTGTAATTTGCTTTTTAGATAGCCATGACGCCAAACTCAATCAAGAAATCTTTCAATTTAAGCTGTAACTTCTAAGTGACAAACTTTGGTCTAAGCTAAAATCTTTTTAAAGATATTTTACAAAGTGGATAGGTCTTCTAATTAATTCGGCTCATAAAGCTCCGCCAAACAGCCTTCTGTTTAAATAAAATATCAACTTGATGTTTTATGGTGTGCCTGTCTTCTGTCCTCAGGTCAGGGGTTTGCTATAAAGAGGAAGCAGAAAGTCAAACATGAGTACAACAAGCTGCTGCGGAGAGAGAGGAAGAAGAACCCTGAGTCCAAAGCCATGTACAAGGAGGAGTACCCAGAACACCTCAGGCATCTGTACATGGCCGAGGCAGAGAAACTGAAGAGCGAGGCCTGGACCAACAGACTGAACAGGAGTAAACTAAGAATTAAAGGGCAGGAGAAGGGTGGAGAGACAGCAGAACATGATGCTGCTGCTGCACACCAGAGTGAAGCTGCTGATCCAGATCCAGAAGTTACTGGTGGATCTGTGCAGACAGATTCAGCCACTGGGAAGCCTGAACCAGCAGCAGCCTCAGAGAAAGACAGGTGAGAAACATCTGGACTGCTGAGCTCCGCAGAGACAGAGGTCAACCTGGAGAGCTCTGCTGTTGTTACTTTACAAGGTGTCTTAATGATTTTTTGTTCATTTAAACAAATAATATTCCTATTATTAATATCATTCAGCTGACCATCAGTCACTTGAATGTGCGGTACTCCATCACTGCAGCTTACGTCAGCTGTCAACAAGCTGTCATCTGTTTGCAGCCCAGTCGATGTGACTTATCGTCAATCGCGAGATTACAATGATTGAAAAAATATTAAGAGCAAAGGAACATAGTGTGTACAGAGGCAAAAACAGAATAAAAAAACACATGAAACACAAAATACTACAAATCAAAAAGTACTAATCAGCTGTTTAAAGGGAAAGCTTACCTTTAAAAATATGTTTTAAAGCAATGATTTAAAAACAGGCAGGTCTAATCTCCTCTTGTTTTGTTTTCAGTTAAATCTTTATTAACACAATTCTTGTGACATTGACATGTCAGTTACAACAGTAGGGCTGCAATGATTAATCGACTAATCGATGACTAATCGACTATTACAAAATCTGTGACTATTTTAGTAGTCGACTAATCGCTTTGAGTCGTTTTTCACAGAAAAGTTCTATAAAAGTACCCCAAAATACTCTTCTTGCAGCTTCTTCCGTTCAAATATTGGCAGCTTTACACACTCTCTCATGACGGTGAACTAAAACCATTTGGCGTGAGTATGAAACAAGACATTAGATGACATAATTTTGGGGTTTGGGAGAGACAGACCGACATTTTTCAACATTTTAACACATTTTTCAATAAGATGATTAGTCGACTAATCGAAGAAATAATCGACAGATTAGTCAACAATGAAAATAATCGTTAGTTGCAGCCCTATACAACAGCATAATGAAATGACTGGGGAAAAAAATAGCTAGCAAAACAGAAGCCCCTTTTACACAGGAATTGTGCAAATTTGCAGGAAAGCCCAATCAGTCTTTTTTCAGCATTGACGGTATAAAAACAAAATCGGGGAGTGCAGCAAAATGCAGCCTATTAACTTTTGTTCATACAGAATGTTCCTTTTTCAGGGCAATGGGGGGCGTGAGCAAGCAACAAAACGTGTAGCTTAGCGTGTGTCGTGAACAGTGACGTGGGAGGGAAGCCGCGGCTGGTCAATCCTTCGGCGATTCTCTCGTATGTCGGCCCGTTCTTCACCGTTCCCGTCATCTGACGGTTAATGGCCTCTTCGTTTGTGAGGGCAACAAGGGCACGCAATTCTTTGTCTCCCCAGTTGCTCATCTTTACAGTGTCTGTCAGGTTTGCGTTTTTCTCTTGCTACTAGCTGCTCGCTAATTCCTGCTATCAGCTGTTTCCTGTTTATCCACCGCCAGTGGGTCATCAACAGCTCCTCCCATGAGTCATCAACAGCCCCTCCCGTTGTGGAAGGCCGCCTCAGTCTTTTTAAACTAAAAAGGTTCCGCCAATATGTCTACCCTACGAGGCGGAAAATTGGGCACCTCGGATCAACTCGCCAATCCAGCTCTGTGTGTCTAAACGCTCGCAGCTTGCCGGCAAAACGGCCCAACATTCACGGAAAATCTGGCAGTGTAAAAGGGGCTAAAAACTGCTTGGGTAAATACACATTCTTACAGCCTGAAGGATCAGTGTATCTATTGATAATTATTCCAGTCCAATGTCGTCTTTTTGATTCTTGTATAGAGTCCATTTTTCCCATTTTCATTCTAGCTGTGCTTCTTGTAGCCTCCGTATGTGTCTATCTCTCCATTTAAAAGATTCAGAATCAGATCCTTCCATGAGAATTCCCTCTAGATTCGCGAATTAGTGGTTGAATGGTGTATCTTCCACATATTATCACAATCTTCATCTGAAATGTATTCTTCCTTTGTTGATGTGAAAGCAGACTGAGAAACACAGAGTAATGCTGCCTTCATGATATTCTCTT